GGGGACATGGATAGGGAGGGTTTAGAGGGATAGGGGCCAAACGCTGGGAAATGGGACTCGTTGCGTTTGGGAAATCATGGACGGGGGGTGGATGCCGAAGGGTCTGTTTCTGTGCTGTACGTCTCTAAACCTATAAAACTCTAACAGGACCAGACAGGCTGAAACGCAGGTAGGATGTTCCCAAGGGGTGGGGGCATCCCGAACCAGGGGCTGACGGTCTAAAGGAGACGGTGGGGGGAGAGGACTGAGAGGAGGAGAAATGGCTTTACCCAGAGGGGTGGAGGTTGGGGTGGGGGGTGTTGACTGTGGGGATTCTCTGTCACAGAAAGCGGTCAGGGCCCGAAACATGGAATGTTTTGGAGAAGGAGTTAGATATTGTCCTGAGGGAGGGAGCGGGGGAACAGGGGACTGAGCTGGATAATTAGCCATGATCCTATTTGAATGGGGGGAGCAGAGTGAAGGGGCTGAATGGCCTACACATGCAGCAGGTTTCTATCAGAGGGAGATGTGAACGAGGTGTTCCTGAGGGCCCTGGACAGTCAGGGAGGGAGTGTTCCCGACTGGGGGTAAAAGCTGTGATCGAGAGCAGGGGGTGAGGAAAGATTGAAGGTGGTTGGGGAAGGAGACGGAGGAGGAAGCCCTCTTGTAGGGAGTGTGGTTCCAATCTGGAATGTGTCTCTGGTGAGGGAGTGCAGCTTTATCAGAGGAGGAGGAGGAGGGGAATGTGTGGGGATTCAGGGAGAAGGGGACAAAGTGATTGTTCCCAGTGGAGAGGGGTTGCAGACCACATGGTATTCTCACTGTTCCTAACAGTGTGGTTGCTGTGGGACTGGGCCAGGGAGTGCGTCAGAGTGCAGGCCTACCGTGTGTATGTGTGTGCACACGAGTGTGGCTGTGCGGGCGGGCGGGCGCGCGCGCAGCTGTGTGTATGCAAGATTGCGTGAGTTCGGCTGTGTGGGTATATGCGCGCGAGTGGCTGTGTGTGAGCGCGCGCGCAGCTGTGTGTACGTGAGCGCGCGCGATTGTGGTTGTGTGTGTGCGTGCGTGCGCGTGGCTGTGTGTACGTGTGGCCGTGTGTATTTGTGCGCGCACCCCTGGCCATGTGAGTGTGCACACGTGTATCTGTGTGCGCACGCGTGTGTGGCTGTGTGCCAGTCTGTGTGCGCCTGCGTGTATGCATGTGAGTCTGCATGTACGCATGTGAGTCCGAGTGTGTGAGTTTGCGTGTACCTGGACTCGTGGTAACTCTCTCTCTCTCTCTTGTCCCCACCCGCTCTACCCCCTCCCCCTTTCCTCTCTCTGTCTCTGTCCCCTCCTCTTTTTTTCTTATCCCTCTCTCTCCCACCACCCATTTCTCTCTCTGCCTATCCCCCCCCCGTCTCTTCCTGCCTGCCCCTCCCCCTCTCTCTCTGCCTGTACGCCTCTCTCTCTGTCTCCTTCTATCTCCCTGTTCCCCCACCCCCCCGCCAGGAGTCGGAAAGTCCTGCCTGCTGCTCCAGTTCACAGACAAACGGTTCCAGCCTGTTCATGATCTGACCATCGGTAAGTTCATTTCTGAACGGCCCTTTGGGAACAGCTTTCACTCACCGGGACGTGGGGGTCACTGGCTGGGCCCAGCATTTATCGCCTTGTCCCTAGTTACCCCCCCCCCCCCGCCTTGAGAAGGTGGGGGTGAGCTGCCTTCTTGAGCCGCTGCAGTCCATGTGCTGTAGGGTAAGACCCACAGTGTCCCTTAGGGAGGGAATTCCAGGGATTCGGACCCAGCCACACTGAGGGAACGGCCGATATATTTCCAGGTCAGGATGGGTGGGGGTGGGGGTGCTGGTGTTCCCATGTACCTGCTGCCCCTTGTCCTTCTGGATGGAAGTGGCCGTGGGGGTTTGGAAGGTGCTGTCTAAGGAGCCTCGGTGAGTTTCTGCAGGGCATCTTGTAGATGGTACACACAGCTGCGACTGAACGTCGGTGGTTGGGGCGGGGTGGCGAGGGAATGTTTGTGGATGTGGTGCCCATCGAGCGGGGGTAGGGTGGGGGCGGTGGCTGCTTTGTACCTGGATGGTGTCGAGTGTTGCTGGGTCAGGGGTGATGGTGAGGGCAGCATTGTGGTGTGCAGCGGTGCCTCCACAGAGGACCAGCCTGTTACTATTCACGGGATTGAGAATGAAGCCCCAGCCTCAGACTATTAGGGTAACTCAAACAGCCTCAGTGTCAGCACTGAGCCCTGTGTTCAGCTCTTTCACTGCTTCCAATTTATCTTCCCTCCCATTCCTCCCATCTGCATCGTGGTCTATCTCTCTCCCTCTGGCTGTGTGTCTCTCCCACACCCCTTCTCCCTTTCCTGCTCTCTTCTTTGTCTCTCTCTGTCTCTCTCTCTCTCTTTCTGTCGCTGTCTCTCTATCTCACACTGTCTGTTTCTCTCTCTCTCTCTCTCTCTCTCTCTCTCTCTTTCCCCCCTCTGCTCTAGGTGTGGAGTTTGGGGCCCGCATGATTCACATTGATGGCAAACAGATTAAGCTGCAAATCTGGGACACAGTGAGTAATGTGGCAATTCTCCCTGTGACAAGCTAGACGTGTGTGTGTCTGTGCGCACTTGTGTGTGTGTGTGTGCGCGCGTGCGCGCGCCTGTGCGTGTGTTTGTGCCCGTGTGCGCACCTGTGCCCGTGTGCATGTGTCTGTGAGAGTGTGTGTGCAGACGTGTGTGTTGGTTGTGGGTGGAGGGCCGGGTGTGTGCCTGAGGGGAATGTGAGTTGGGG